GAAGAGGTGCTAGGCTTCTGCTTAGTTACAGACTATATATAAACCTGGAGCTTCAGAATGCAGTGGGATCAAGGTTTGTTTTCAAGGCTTATATTAATCCATCTTGTCCTTTCCAGGCAGGTGTACTCTGCAAAGCCTGATGTGTATATTTCCTATACCTAAAGATTTTGGGGAAGTGAAAACATTCTTCTGTGAAACCAAAATTTTTAGAATCAAACTGTGTCTTGGTTGGGAAGCTCCTCCGTCTGACTGAGTGAGGTCACCGTCAGCTGCTCTGGGAACATGCGTGGAACCCACAGCCTCACAAGCCCACAGCCTTAGGGGCGGCTGGGAGAAATTCTCAGTCTGGCAGCCCTTAACTGTCCCGTGCCCGGGTGTCCTGCCCTTTCTGATACCCTTTCCTTGTTCCATCTTGCCATCTGTGTTACACTGTGTTTTCTGTTATCCATTTAAAAAATTATTTTGTTAATCCTTGTCTACTTTCTCCAATATTTTCTCTCTTCTCTTTTTAACTATTCAATTATTTATGTCTTAACTTGTTTTTCCTTCCACACTGTCCGTTTTTTGCTCACTCTTTTTTTTTGTCTCTCTAGTCTCTGTGCTTCAATTCACCCCCACCCCCCACATGCTTCCCTTTCCCTTTCCCCAAAGGCTTTTAACTTCCTCCCTGCCTGCCACGTGCTGTGCAGGCCTAGACCAGGCAGAGGATACTTCAGAGACTGCACAGCAGGGCAAGGCAGCCTGGGGGAGGGTTCTGAATATCAGAGCTGGGCCCCCTAGAAGGGAGGGCTCCTGGCCACGTCTTGTCCAACACTTTGATCAGATGTTACCCAGACGAAATCACAAGGTCACTCTTTACCAAATTTGTTGGTCACTCTATGTTGAGAAACTACAACACTTCAGGTGCCAGAGTCAAGATCCAAAAACATCTTGGAAGGCATGGAAATGGCTGAATCTAATAATAAACTATGTCCCTTTCTTCACTTGGGTGGAAAATTAATTGCTTAAGACCAGGATGGGGGAGATGTGGCTGGGCAGCGGAAAAGACCTAAAAGGGCTTTAGCCAAAAGTAGGGTAAAAGGGAGCCACCATCTGGTGTCCCCCCCACCCCCCAAGCTCATTTGAGCTTAGGCTTCACTAGAGAAGTACAGTGTCTGGAGTGAGCCAGGCCAGTCAGGTATACACTCAAGAGAGAAACACCATCCATCCACATTTGCCAAGAGCAACTAGGACAGGCTGAGAGAACTAGGGATGGTTAGTGACAGGAAAAAAGGATGTGATAATGATATTTAAATATTGAGGAAGAGAAATCAGATTTATGGCTCCCAAGGAGGAGGACGAAGTTCAGTGGAGTCAGACTTCATTTTCAATACCGGGATGCACTGTGCAGCAAAGTTGTCCATAGATAGACTGGGCTTCTTCATAAAGGAGTATGTCCCTTTCATTGGAAAAGTCTGAATGTTTGATGGAATGTTCAAGAGATTCAAATGTTGCATATGTGGTTGAGCAAGATGATAGTCATAGCCTTTTACGGTTGATACTAATAGTAATAGCTAACATTAATTGGGCACTTACTATTGGCTGGGAACAGGGTGCTCAAAGTTTTATATACATTACTGTTATTGCTACGATCTTAGAGGTGAGGAAATGGTCTCAAGGAGGTGAAGAATGTGCCCAAAATCACAGCATTGAAGAATAAGGACTCATTGGTGAGTGGGACTAAAACTCTAACAGGTCAAGAGAATGTCTAAAAGTTGTTTAATATGGACATTAGAGGGCTGGAGTGGAGTTGAATGGAGTTTCTTCCACTGTGCTGCAAACAGCAAGGACAGGTGCTTCCTGTAGTTTCTGCATGGGACCGCGCAGCAGCAAGGCCGGCCAAAGGGGGCCCAGAGCAATTTAACAGAGCTGTCTTCTTCAGCCAGGTGGAATTAGTCTACAAAAGAGAAAAAAAAAAAATCACATAGATATTCATGCAATACAATTTTTGTTCAGTTTAATAGTTTTCTAGATAATTTATACAGAGAATTTTGTCAAAACTACCTATCCATTCGACTTTTGAATTACAGCACCTATAGGTTTGTTTCTGATGCCTATGCAATTGGAGAGGAATCCTTCATTATTCCCTGTACCCACAGGCAATATTACTTCTCTGTATTTAACAACAGAACAGAAAGATTTGGAGTTCTTTTATATTTTATCCAGCTTTTACGTTGTTGTCAGTGGGAAATTTAGTTTGAACAGCTCACCCAACACTCTTGGAAATTGGAAGTTCTTCCAAAGATGTGAAGTTCCCACTCAGTTTCAAGTCCCCTCTTCTAGAGTGTGAGCTCCAGTTCTGTAATCAGCACACCCCCAGTTTAGAGGTTCTCTGGTCCTTTTCAGTTGACCCCCTTGAACTGAACGAGAAAGGAGGAAGAGTCCCAGAGGTGGATCCTGATGACCAAGAGCACAGAATTGGGGACGCTCAGAGGGCCTGCTAAGGACGTGGCAGTGAGCGGGACTGAAAATGAAATATTTGTGAATAATGCTCAACAAACAATAATCACTCCCGAAAGAAAATTCAGGCGTGGAGACAGACTGAACAACTCAGGGAGCCAGAGCCAGGACTGGCTGGAGACTGTCACTGTGCTCTGAGGCCGGGGCAGAGGGATCTTATCCTGGGAGGGGCGGGGAATAAAATGGGAAGTAGGGATGGGAGAAGGGAGTGAGAACCCCGCCCCAGCCTTGTGAGCACGTGGTGGAACCTCAGTGCTGGGGTTTGGTCACCTGTCACCCTCAGCTTGACACTCTAATGTGCTCAGGCCTTTTGGGGCACAGCCCATCATTCAAAGGGCTTCCAATCAGATGGTGTCACGAACCAGGGTTGTCCCGAGGAGCTTGCAGGAAAAAACGAATAGTAAGATGGCACAAGCCCCTTTGCTCCCTGCCTCTGGTGACCTGGCTGAGGCGGGGCTCACTCCGCCACCCCGGGCTCTTTTCAGCACACCGAGCTCTCTCCTTTGGGCCGGACCCCTCGCTGAATCGGTCAGAGGTGTGCGGTGGAAGCAGGGACAGAGGCCAATCCTGGTTGCCCCAGGAGCCCTTTGAAATGCAGAGCTGCCCTGGCAGGGGCCACCCGAGTGGCAGCTCGCGGCTGTCCCGTGGGAGGCTGCCACGTTCTTACCTCTCTGGCAAGGCCGGGCGTGCTAGCTGGGACTGTGATACACATGTGCTCAGAGCCAAGCGGCCGGTCTCAGAATTGGGTCACCTCAGAGAAGGGCGACGAAGATCTATCCCGATTGCTGGGATCGGATTTCGTCCTTCCTTGTAAAACCCAGCCGTGCCCCCAGCCTCTGCCAGCACCAAGGCGCTCCTTTGTGCTCGCGCTCCAGAAGGCCGGAGAGCGAAGTGACAGGGGACGCGGCGCCCGAGCTCCCCAGCCCGCTCCCTGGGCGCCGGCTCCGGGGGGCTGTAAGGGGACAGGAGGGGTCGGCGCCTCAGCAGTTTGATCTTCCTGGCAGGCCCTGGGGCCGCAGCCCGACTTTCCCAGGGGCAGCGTCTCCCTGGCACAGCTCCGGGCTGCAGGGACGCCCTCCCGCGCCCGCCCCGTCCTTCTCACTTGTTTTTGTGCTGACGCCGGAGCAGCCGCTCTTGCGTTTGAAACACGCTGTGATTCAAAGAAACCCCAACCCAGTTATGCGACAGGCGCGTGCTGCCCTCTACCGGTCCCCGCAGGTGGCGCCCGGGCTCCCGGGGGACAGTCGCCCGGGCCTGCCCGGCTGTCGCCTTCCTCTGTCCCCTACAGCCTGCCCTTTGCTCTTCCCGGGGGGAAAGATGTCAGAAGCCAGGCGACGTTGGTGTGGCTGGCTGCGAGAGAAAAACGGTGCAGACCTGACATAAGCGGCCGCCTCTGGTCCGGGAGTGTTTCTCGGACCCGCGACCCTCCCAGCCTAGGAAGCGGTTGCTCGTCTGTTCCCCTGGCGGCCTCTAGAGGGGAAAGCACCTCGTGTCGCAGAGGCCAGCGTCTGTCAACAGCGCTGCGCACACACAGGGGCTTCCTTTTCCTGCCCTGCTGGTGACGGGGTGCGGTGGCCTGAGACTCGCCTCAGACGTTCTAGCTGGAGCCCGGGGAACCAGCTCAGATGCCAAACACAAACCTCTTGGAAAAACATCTGCTGGGTTAATGTTTGAAGAACCCGAAGAAATTGGTTGGACATAGTCCAGTTCTGTTTAGAGAGGAATCTAGGACTTAAGGAACAAAGTTCGTAGGTGTGGGCGGAAAACCTAGGAAACGTTTTATTTGGGTAGCTGGGAAGCGTGTCTCCAGCAGTGATGGAAAGAATCTGGGAGAGGAAGGCGTGTTTCCCCCACGAAGCCTGCATCTGGCAGGGGGAGACCATCAGGCCGCGTGTGAGTGCTGCTGCCCAGCAGGAAGCAGTCCGGCCGTGGTCCCAGGTCTGGAGTGCTGTCCACGGGCAAGTGTCTTTAAAAAGACAGTGTGAAACAGAATGCAGGATGGGCCTGCTCCAGCTTTTCTCCAACGGGGGGTTGGTGGTCACAGATGAATAGGGTCATTTCTGTTGGAGCAGCTGTTGGGGGAGGCAAACCTTTGCGCCCTTCTGCCCGATGCAGGGGGGCTGACGGGGAGAGGGCTGGATTGAAATTTGAGTGAATGGGCCTTGTTTTCACATGTGAGGAGTCCATTTCCTGGACGGTCTCTCCTTGTAGAAATGGAAAAGAAGCATTTCTTATTTTATTTGGATCTTTGGTTGCAAAAGCCCATCCTTACGAAATGAATCTTTCCCTATCCTTCCCCACTCAACTTTAAAGAATGGAGTTTTCTCTCTTTTNTAGAAATGGAAAAGAAGCATTTCTTATTTTATTTGGATCTTTGGTTGCAAAAGCCCATCCTTACGAAATGAATCTTTCCCTATCCTTCCCCACTCAACTTTAAAGAATGGAGTTTTCTCTCTTTTTTAACAATACTGAGCAAATCCTGGGGAAAGGCAGGGGGAGGGGGGAATAAATAAATAAATAAAAATTATCCTCTTTTGACAAAACTGACCTGAAATTTTGGCCTTTGTTCGTCTTTGGATGCCTGATGATGCTTACTCAGCCCCAGACTGTATGGAGCAGCTTGCCAAAGCTATAGGAGCCCGTTGTCTCTGGGCCAGACAGGGGCCATGTGGTCCTTCTCTTGAGCTATAAGGGACTGGCAGGTGAAGGATGAAGCTGGCTCTTAGTGCTGGCTTCCTCAAGGGCACAGAGCCGGATCTGAAATAATACCTATATTCTCTGCCTCGAGATTCGGTTTGTTTCTAGCCACCCCACCTCCCTCCAGCTTAAAGATGGCATAGTGTGCCTTTGGGAGATGCTCCTCCACCTTGCTCGGCAGGGAGCCCCTTTCCTCTGCCACAGCGTTATATACAAAGCCAGCTCCAACTCTAGAGCCACGAGTGTTTCCCCAAAGTTGGGGTCTGCTGAGCAGCATGCATCTGCTCCTTGATTTTATTTGGGTAAAATCAAAGGTAAACAGAGGGCTCTGGGCTTATATGTGATGTTTAAAACAAAAGGATGTAACCAGAGGGCCTCTAAAGAGTTCTTTAAATTCCTGACATTCCATGATTTCCTGTTAATGTTCGTCTATCCAAAGCTATAGGAGCCCGTTGTCTCTGGGCCAGACAGGGGCCATGTGGTCCTGCTCTTGAGCTATAAGGGACTGGCAGGTGAAGGATGAAGCTGGCTCTTAGTGCTGGCTTCCTCAAGGGCACAGAGCCGGATCTGAAATAATACCTATATTCTCTGCCTCGAGATTCGGTTTGTTTCTAGCCACCCCACCTCCCTCCAGCTTAAAGATGGCATAGTGTGCCTTTGGGAGATGCTCCTCCACCTTGCTCGGCAGGGAGCCCCTTTCCTCTGCCACAGCGTTATATACAAAGCCAGCTCCAACTCTAGAGCCACGAGTGTTTCCTCCAAGTTGGGGTCTGCTGAGCAGCATGCATCTGCTCCTTGATTTTATTTGGGTAAAATCAAAGGTAAACAGTGGGCTCTGGGCTTATATGTGATGTTTAAAACAAAAGGATGTAACCATAGGGCCTCTAAAGAGTTCTTTAAATTCCTGACATTCCATGATTTCCTGTTAATGTTCGTCTAACAGGGATTAGAGAAAGCCAGCAAGATCCAAAGGCCATGGTGGTACCCAACATGGGGAATTAAGCTCAGCAGAAGGTAGACAAGGCTGCACGTCTGCCTGGTGGAACAGGGGGCACTCCAGATCTGGGCAAACCTTGCACCTCGGCTTTGCCACTTTTACCGGCTTGCAGGCTCATTACTTCTCCGAACCTCAGTTTTCTCCCTGGTAAAATGAGGATGTTATGAGCATTGCATTATATGAAGTCAGTGCCTAGTATATGGTAAGAAGTCAATATTATTTTTTTTAAAGGCTGGATTAAAAAGACCAAGTGTAATGAAATGCAGAGCTGGCTTCGGTGAGCCCTACGCTGCATTTGGGCTTGTGGTCAGGTGAGGGAAGGAATTTGAAAGTAGAAAGAAAAGGAGGCAGAGAGAGAAGAGGCGTAGGACCTCTTGTGGAGAAACTAGCTCAAAGCACAACCTGAGCAGCGTGAACGGTGTGGGGGAGTAGACATTAGGGAAAACAGGAGAGCAACAGGGAGGAGAAACTCGAGAAGCCAGCTCTGCATGGGGAATCCAGCAGAGAACAGAATCTGGCAGAACCTGGGCTGTGGCCTAGATACCTGCAGAGAGAAGTTTTGGCAAAGAGTGAAAAAGGGGAGCTGGGCAGGGGGGGAAACTGGGAACCAATCCAAAGCCACTAGTCTGCCAGGCCGAGAGGAAACCTTGGAGCAGCAGCCTGTTAAGTACCCGATTAATGAACAAGCTGCTGGCTGGTTCAGGTAAGGGCGCACCTGTGATTTACCTAATCCCTGCAAAGCTCACACCCTGAGATCTCCACATACTCAAGTCATTCTTTACTCAACTGCTTGACTAAGCCTGGATTGTGCTGAGCAGCCTTGGGGAAAGGGACTCCCAGGAGAAAGTTCACCAAAAAAAAAAAAAAAAAAAAAAAAAAAAAAAAAAAAAAAAAAAAAACCCCAAAAAAAAAAAAATTTTTTTTTTTTTTTTTTT